CATGTTTCCCTTTTGGTCTTTTCTTGGTTCCAGTTCTCATTGTCTGTCCTTTTCTAAGTTGTATCTTACTGGTATAATTTGTAGATTTTGATGAACCCCCACCTCCCAACCCCCTCTTCCATTACCTAAAAAGGACGAAAGTTCTTTTACTCCAGCAATATCCCGATTGATGTCAGCAAATGAAGCAATAGATGCATAATAATAGGACTCAAAAACTTTACACAAGATCAAGGCATTTATTCATCTTTTGGCGAAAAGCTAGGCTTAAGCTAAGAGATGCATTGATCAAAGAGTTAAATGATTATTATCTAATACGCAAATTGTTCTATTTTCGAGTCGTCACCAGGATCAAAATGAAAAGAAAATCAGAAAAATGAGTCTCGAAATATATTCTATTTTCTTTTTACATTTTCAACTCGTTCACATCAGCGTCCACTTACTTTTAAAATCCTTTCGTCTTTCTGCTTTTGTATTTAGCAGGAGTGTCGAAAGTCTATATGACACAGTGGGCAATAAAATGGAATTGTTAAAGAAGCTTATTTTGCTTATGGAGGAGACCAGATAAAACGATGTCGTCACTAGCTCAGATATTATTAATCTGGACTACACAACAGACGATCGATGTTCGAATCTCCGGGAGACAGACTTGAACATGGGTTGTCTCAGGATCAAGCACGCCTAGGATGTGGGCGACCTCGGTTCGAATCTCCAGTTGGGCGTTCTTTACCTTGTGTTGTTTTTGGACTTGAAAAGGCCCTCTTCCTACTTTGCTAAATTTTTTTTCTCACCATGGATGGACGTTTAGTTAACGAGTTCCACCTCTTCACTAATCATACGTGTCTAAGTCGGAGTCAAACAAATAATATCCGTCTTTGGACAGCTCATGACAGCCAAAAAATTTGTCCGGATTACATGTCATGAATCGGATGTTACACTTCAGCTCGTTTTACTTATGAGAACAAAAATTAATGAACATATCAATCCAGTCAAAAGACCCTACTTTCTTTTATGGGTCAATCGTGTTGTAGTATCCGACCAAAGTTTCTGTTTCACTAAATTTTTCCATTTCAACATATCTTAACTTTGTCACTAGCACCGAGGCTCTCAGGGAGGCGCTGGTTTGAATCCCCGACTTGACACTCTTGAACTCGTGTCGTTGGTTTTTTCAAATCTTTCAATCCAAATAGCTCAATTATATTGGAAATAAAAATTACATTTAGAGGTCCCGCCTCTTAACTGACTGAATTGTGATGAAAAGGGCGTTAAATCCTTTCAAATACATTTAAAAAACGCCATCATAGGCGATGATGCTTTTTCCCCCTCAATGTCACATGTGTGTTTGTCTGCCCATGCTATCTGCGTTAGAGTTGCCTTTTATTATGGTAATAAGCGTTCCACGCCACTTGACTTTATTGTGCTAGCATTCACGCTAAAAAATCTGAAGCTGTTGTCGTCGAAAAATGAAAGAATAGCAACTCCTTTTAAAAGTTATATTATACACACCGTGGGGAGATTAAAAAGGACAGTCTCTCTTAATAGTTTCTTGTCACAGACAGCGAACAGATATCAAGAGGATTACCAAGAAGGACCTGGCTGAATGGGGTTAAAAAGGTCCTAGAACAGCACGACGTGTCTATCACAGACTCCGCACATTTAGAACAGGACCGAAACCTACATCTCCCGTCGACGTCCCAAGGATACCAGATGAAGGGAAAAGTAGTAAAAGTAAAAACTAAAGTATGGCAAAACGATTTACTCAAGTAGGTGGCCTAGTGGTTAGGCTCTCGGACTCACAACAGTAAGGTAATGGGTTCGAATCCCGTCAGTGGTCCGACGTTGTATCTAGGGAAACACATTTTACTTGAATTTTCATCATTTTACCCAGGTTGAAATGGGTACCTGGCTATACACAGTGAAAGATCCTGCCAGTTTGTTAGTGTTTGAGCGTTAGAAATTCGCAACTTACACTGTTTGCTTCCCAGGATTTTCACCATATACTCGTCCTGGTATCCATCCATCTATCAATCCACCCATTCATCCATCCATCCATCCATCCATCCATCCATCCATCCATCTATCTATCTATCTATCCATCCATCCATCCATCCACCCTTGATCCCCGCCCCGCTCACTTCATTTCCTATAAGTTCTGTTCAACGGTAAATTGTAATTATCAAATGAAAGCAATGTGAAATACATATATATAAACCTATAGGTTGCAGAATTTGAAGTAAGACATAATGACCCGAACACGGGCATATCTTTACAAAACGAATAGTGCGCAAGGATGAAGATAATCACAATGATTTCAAACGTCACTCACAATTTGTTCTTCAGGGGAAGCAATTCATACTTAAATGTTATGAAAGAAAAATAAACGTTCTCAGTTCCCCTGTGAGACACCTCTCCTTGGACAATTATAATTTATTGTTAACATCTCAGTTGCCAACCATCGAACTTGAGTTTTATCGACTCTCGTTTCGCACTGGTGTACTCTTTTCAAGCACTTTAAGACAAAATAAACAAATACGAAAATCGGTCGCCTGATACTCACGTAGGTGTTTGCCCAGGGGAAGAACATTCCCAGCACAAATATTCCAAACAGTGGCCCATTCAGGATGCCATAAACGGTGTATGAACCCTGTAGAGAAAAGGGAATTGGCTTAATGGTTGTTTGTTTGAGTAAACAAAAACACATCAGCTTAACAATGATCATGTTCTAGAGCGGGGAAAAGCAAGACAGACAGACTGAAACAACAGAGGGGGAGAAAAAGAGTAGTAACGATTTGTAGCGCCCGTGAACCCAGCAAAACAAATAAAATGAAAGTATTGTTATATGTGAGAGAAAATCAGGAAAGAAAGGCTCACTTTTATTTATCACCTACCTCCTGAAGGTAAGGGAACTTTGATATCGTAGGCCCAATACCTCAACATTATTCGGTGTTACTCTATCGGTGGGATAGCATGGCATGAAAATGAACCAAAATTGTGTAATGTTGGTACTCAATGTAAAATAAAAGGACAATTGTTTAAAATCTATTACCCCGCCATTAATGTGTTTAATTAGATCAAACTTGTTTTTTTCTTCACTTCAATACGGGTTACGAAAACGCTTTACCAGGCCATGTACTGAGAACATTCAGAAGAGTGGTGCACCGTCGACGTTCTTACACAGTCTCAAAACCAAACAACACACTGGGTAATGTACGTTCTGGTGTTCCAGTGTAATTTTGGTTTAGCGTGTACTCTTTCGCTTTTTGTCTTTTCTTCTCTATGTTCGTTCACAAAGACTAACGTGACCTACTTGTTTTAAATTGGGCTTATGAATAATAATATGTAAAACTCGTATACAATTGTTGTTGGAAATTATACCTGTAACACGGAATCGATTTGGGACGCCAAGTAGGCAACTCCAATAGCGATAACGCCGAACACAATCACTGCAGAATAGAAAGAGAACAATTGTTGTGAATATAACACATTATGACAAAGGACATGTTTTTGTTTAAAAGGGTTGGGACGGAAAGAGTGGGGATTGAGAACGTTAAACACTCGGTCATATTCTGAGATTCTCTAAATCGGAATCGATAGTAATCCTGACGGCAGTAAGTAAGACCCGAAGATAAACCGCCCCTCTCCTTTCCATCTCTCAACTTTCCTTCTCCCCTGACAGAGCAATGAAGCCCTGCACTTT